TAATTAATACCTTCTCCTGTCCAGTGGGATCACCACCTTGAGCTCAAACTCTAGAGGGGGAGAGAGAGAGAGAGAGAGGGGGGGGAGAGAGAGAGAGTAAGAGAGAGGGGAGGGAGAGAGAGAGAGGGGGGGGAGAGAGAGAGGGGGAGAGAGAGAGAGGGGGGGAGAGAGAGAGGGAGAGAAATTACATGTACATGTAGGAAAGCAACATAACATCAATAGGTCATTCTACTTAATTAATAATTATAACTCCACCCACTAATTAATAATAATTAATCCATGACCAAAAACGACTCTGTGGAATATGGTATCATTATAATAATCTTCTAAACACAATTGTATGAAGTTACGACAGGCCAGAGGAGCCTCTTTGGACCACAGTTCAATATCAATATCACCCAGTGTGGTCTTTAATAGTACCTGAGGGGAGGGGCCAGTAGTCACTAATACAGCTGCTGCTGCTGGATTAACTACCTTTCCTTTAGTAGGGGGCTCTGTTATATATATGGAACTCATTTCTGGAGCAGTTGAGCTCAAATCACTGAAATCAGGATTACTCTCCGTATATCTACTCAGTATATTGAAATCACGTGTTTCTAAATTATTATACAGTATAGGGGGTATATTTGCCGGGGAAAATATTTCACGAAAATCACCTTTCAACCTTTTTTCTTCTAATGACCATTATTAGTATGGTAAAAAAACAATTTTTATAGGTAAAAATTTTCACGAATTTTTTAAAACCATGCCGGAAATTAGCGAAATTAAATCCCCGTGAAATATCATGTCCAGCAATGAGTGGACGCGGATTAGTATACTGAGCAATTATCTCCGTATACTACTGGTTGACTTTATACAGGGCAGGAATGGACATTTCCATTTACTAGGCTATATCTTTCTTCAGAATAAGTCTCATCAATTTGCGCACTTCAGTAGCTGTTCTCCATAATTATACCTGTGTTCCTGCTAAATATGACAGCACTTGGAGTAACTTTGTGTGGAACATTTACAGATTAAAGATGAGGCAGTCAGTGCCGCCATTTTTGTCATTCCTTTATGTATGTATGATAATTTTTTTACTTTTTGAATGGTTATATCTAAATTTCAAACAATTTTTGACAAATTGCGCACTTATTTTGTGAAAGTACAACATTTTTACTGCCCAATCATGCAAAAAAGATAAAGAAATTCAAAACTTTGTTCGGTACTTTAGTCGGCTTCTAAAGGTGAAATAATTTTAGTCGTCTCAGTGATAACGGGTGCAGCAACAAGAGTGAACAAGTGCTTTTCTCTTCTCACGGGAATAATAAAGTAAAACTAAGAGTGCTTAACAGCTATACAAGCAAATCATGACTCTAGATCCTTTTAAAGTAATAACAAGAAGGCCTTTTGTTAGTGGATGAGTCTTCTTGCGCCACGCCTGCCACTTTAACAATAGAATATGAAAAAACTACCATAACCAATTGCATTAAGTAGCATTCAAGAAGCTCCAAGTATCTAGTGAAGTCCCATCCATGAACCAGAAAGACGTTAGCAGGCTTTGTAGTGAAGCTTCCTATCAATCCACCATTGCTGAGCTGCCGTTGCTATGGTAATTCCAATGAATATCATTAAATTAATGCGACCGGAAGTCCCATTGCAATAGCTGGACATGTACCCCCTATATGGTAATCATAGCAAATAAACAAAAAATACTATTAAGTCACACATACAAAAATAATGCATAATGCATTCAAAATATTAATACTATTATTAAAGGGTAATATCATAAAGGAATTTCAGTTCTTTAGGTATTCTTTCAGCAGCTGCACGGTCTCTTGTTCCCTTCACAGCATCTATCAAAGTCTGCCATGTTCTACTAGTTACCTTATCTTCTCCTCTCAGCCATGCTTTTATAGTCTTCTTTAGTTTCTTATGTGCATTACCACCACCGTCTTCAATAACATCGAGTGTTGTTGGTCCTAGTAGGCCTAACTTCAGCCCTAAGTTATTCCATTCTGCTGAACCAAACATTGCTTCTTGTAACACTGTTAGCACTTTATCAAGATCCTCTATACCTGTATTAGCATTAAAAGATTATTATTGTACATGTATCATGCCAGGTAGCCTCTTACCTAGCTGTCCAGCTCCATGATCACTATCAGGATTAACAGTGGTACTGTCTTGATGAGGCTGTACTGGTAAAGTACCAGTAGCTATATAGGAAAAATCAATGATCAAGTCACTAATATACTATAATTTCAATCATTGCAAGGAGACATGAATTATTCAAATTTAAAAAGTAGAATGTGCTTCAGAACAATTCACACTGTACTGTAGTATGTTACAGCGAGAAGTATACCTGTACACATAGGCATAACATAAAAGTTAGCAACTCTTTTATGTTACAAGTATATTTACACTTTACAGGTACTTCCAGTCACTGCAGTGTGTATAATCAGTTTTTAGACTTTTGAGAAAATTACTGAAAGTATAATAAACATCTAAATTGTATCAGATTAATTTTTTAATTTTTTATAATTTACTTACATGTACTTGATTCTAATCTGCGTCTTTTAGTAGGTGGGTCTTCTGATGATGCTTTGGTTCCTAAGAAATAATAATATTTAAATTTTGAATAAATTAAAAGTAATGCTAATACATCAATGGTGGTACTCCATCAGAATACTCTTCATTGTAAATTACTAACCTGGACTGGATGATTGATAATCACTAAACCAGCACCTGTAGCTGTTATCATCACCTTGTAATACTTTACGGTGTAATCGACATTGAGTACACCTGGTAGAAGAATTATCTTCTTTGACAATGCAGTAACACTGTCTATTTTTTCTGGGGCACTTGAATGCAAAGATATGCTTTTTGCTAACTTTGAGATCATCACTGCTTTTTTTGATAGCGTCTGTAACTAATTCTCGAATTTTTAGACAAAATTCTTTGCTGTGATCATCTAAATGTATCTCAATATGTGTATAGCGATTGATGATATCTATAGTATACTCTTTGTAAATACGAAGTGATATGGCATCATTATATCTGTAGAATCCTGTTTTATCGCCTGAATCTGAACTTGAATCTGAACTTGAATCTGAATCTGAACCTGAATCTGGACCAGGAGCAAATTGTACCGTATCTTTTTTCTCTAAAAGGTGTACGATGGTTAAGGGAAATAATCCTTGAGGGATGGCTAGAGTTGTTGTGCCACTGTTGTCAATCTCCCATGCTATGAGAAGTGGTTGTACATGTATTTCAGGTGGAGGACGATTGAGCTTATCTATGTCACAAGATGGTAATGCACACAGAAAGAAATAGTCTCCTTCTTCTCTGTTTTCAACTTCAGCAATGATGTGGAGGTGTTTAAGAAGAGCGATCATGTGAGATGGTTGAAAATCTTTATTAAAAACTTTTAGCTTCATACCAATGTTTTTAAAAATATCTTCTTTAAATAGGCCAAATTTTATGAGATTATAAGTTTCATCTGGTGAAGGAGGTGGCTCTGCAAGCAAATGTAGATCAGTATGGTCAATGTATGTAACAGCTATTAGATGTGAAAGGACATCCAGAATTGGTTTAGGATTGGTAAATATAAAATTCGGTAGAACATTTTGATAATAAAAAATGATAGTAACATTGTGTAGATATTCCAGGGCATCATCGATATCTGATTCATCATCAAGTCGGAGAGACCTACCAATCTCAATCACTTCTTCTCTTGTAAGAAAACTTCGTTCCTTCTTCTTAGCTTCTAGTTTTAGTGCAATCTCAAAAGCAAGCAATCGAATCGGTAACTCAATTGTCATTTCAACTCTGCAATTTGAAATTACTTTACAAAGACTTGCACTAGCTTCCTCTCTTTCCTTAGACCCAGCAGGGAGCAACGTATTAACTGGAAATATGATATGACGCTTATTACGAGGAATGACTTTTCTATTATCTTTATATTCTTCAAGCAGCAATTTATTCATTTTATTCAGCTCACCTAGCTTCTCTCTTTTTTCCAACTCATCTTTACGTGTACCAAGTATGAGATAATGAGAGTGCTCAGGCATGTGAGAGACGTAAGAAATTTTAACAGGATTCAACATAGCTTCGGAGCTAATAGTTGAGCGAATTATATCACGATTAGAATACTCGAGCTTCGTCTTAATAGGAAACTCATGTTGCTCAAGACGATAATGAAACTCACATTTCTCATCAAGACCTTTGGTAAGATCAACGGTGATGATATTCAGTGCAGCTCCTCTTGTAAAAAGAGGTAGCAACTCTCGATATGCTGGCTGACCACCAGAATCAATAAAATAAACCCAATTTGTGTTAAATTTTTGGGTTTCCTGAACATTTGTAACTTTTTGAATTACTTCTGTTTTAATTGGTTTATTCTCAGCTGGTATATTTTTGGTTTGCTGTTTCTCTGCAGTTTGTTCATTCCTGACTGGTTCATTTGTGTGCGGTTCAGTTGCGATTGACTCTTCCATTAATGATTCATCTGAACTATCAGAGACATTATCATCTTCAGACATATCATCAATTTCAGACATTGATGCTTCATCCCCTTCTGTAGACATTTTCTCATTTTCTGTTTCGTCCTCTAAATGAGATGCTAGCTGTTTATACAAATCTTCAATATTAACCCTCTCCCACTTCTTATTTTCATCATCAATGGATATTCTTGTTGCTTGAACAGCAGGACAAGCTATTGGTGTACTATCAGTGAGTTTCTCAGGTGGTGGCTCATTAAGTAGGAGGTGCTGTGAACATGTTTTACCAGCTCCAGGTGCACCATGCATATTGATACGAGTGACTTTTAGCTTAACTTCACCTTCTTTCAGCCATTCTTCTATTTTTCCTAAAAATTATAAAGAAATCATTACTTTAGTGGCAATACAATTCCTCATTAACACATTCTCTAATTCATTTATTTCTATCATCATTCTCTTTAATACTAACTTGAGCTGAATAATTGAGAATCACTAAACCAGCACCCGTAGCTATCATCACCTCTTTGCAGTACTTTACATTGTAATTGACATTGAGTACACCTGGTAGAAGATTTATCTTCTTTGACAATGCAGTAACATTGTTCATTTTGGGGGCAATTGAATGCAAAAATATGATCATAGGCAACATTGAGGTCTTTGCTGCTTCTTTTGATAGCTTCTGTGACTAATTTAAAAACTAGTGGACAAGATTCCTTGTGACCACCAAAACGTATTTCGATATGTGTATAACGATTGATGATGTGTACCAAGTGTTCATTGTAAACACGAAGTGACATAGCATCATGGCATCTGTAGAATTCTGTTTCTGGTTTGTCTGGATCTGGGTCTGAAATTGGATCAGGAGCAAATTCTACAATATCTTTTCTTTTTAAAAGATGTACGATGGTTAAAGGAAATAATCCTTGAGGAATGGCTAGAGTTGTTGTCCCCCTATTGTCGATCTTCCATGCTATGAGAAGTGGTTGTATTTCTGTTGGGGCAGGATTGAGCTTATCGTAAGATAGTAATGCACACGGGAAAAAATAGTCACCTTCTTCTCTGTTTTTAACTTTGGCAATAATGTGGAGGTGTCTTAGAAGAGTGATCATGTGAGATGATTTAAAATCTTTATCAAAAAATTGTTTACCAACTTTTTTAAAAATATTTTTTTTTAAAAGGCCAAATTTTTTGAGACTATTTAATTCACCTACTGAAGGAGGTGGATTAGCAATTAAATGTAATTTATCATGGCCAACAGATGTGATAGCTATTAGACGTGAAAGGACATCAAGAATTGACTTAGGATCAACAAATATTATATTTGGTAGGACAGCAGGATAATAAAGAATGATAGTGACATCGTGCAAATATTGCAGAGCATCATCAATATCTGATTCTGAATCAAGTCGGAGAGACCTACCAATCTTAATCGCTTCTTCTTTTGTAAGGAAACTTCGTTCCTTCTTCTGAGCTTCCCTCTGTAATGAAATCTCAAAAGTAAGCAATCGAATTGGTAACTCAATCGTCATTTCAACTGCACAATTTGAAATTGCAGTACAAAGCTCTACACTAGCTTCTTCTCTTTCCTTAGACCCAGCAGGGAGCAGCGTATTAACTGGAAATATAATCAAACCTCTATGTATATTTTGAGGATTGACTTTTTTATTAGCTCTATATTCACTCAAACTTTCATTCATTTCTTTTAGCTTTTTTTCTGTTACCAACTCTTTACGTGTACCAAGTATAAGATAATGAGGATGGTCAGGCATGTCAGATACGTAAGGAATCTCAATGGGATTCAACATAGCCTCGGAGCTAATTGTTGAGCATATTATATCACGATTAGAATACTTCAGATCTGTATCAATAGGATACCTATGCTGATCAATGTGATATTGAAACTCACACTTTTCATCAAGACCTTTGGTAAGATCAATGGTGATGATATTCAGTGCAGCTGCTCTTGTAAAAAGAGGTAGCAACTCTCGATATGCTGGTTGACCACCAGAATCAATAAAATAAACCCAATTTGTGCTTAGTTTTTGAAACTTTCCAGTTGCAAGAGCATTTGAAATTTCTTTAATTACTTCTATATCAGTTGGTTTCTTCTTGGGTGGTTCTTCCAGTAATAATTTATCTGAACAATCAGATACATCATCTGAAGATGCTGGTGCTTCTGCTAAATGAGACGCTAGCTGGTTGAGTAAATTTTCAATCTTGACTCTCTCCCACTTATTTTTACCGTCAATGGATATTCTTGTTGCTCGAACAGCAGGACAAGCTATTGATGTACTATCAGTAGAAGCTGGTGGTGGCTCATTAAGTAGGAGGTGTAGTGAACACGTTTTACCAGCTCCAGGTGCACCATGCATATTGATACGAGTGAGTTTGAGCTCAACTTTTCCTTCTTTTAGCCATTTTTCTAATCTTCCTAAAAATTAATATGGTAATGAGCACTACTTTTAATGGCTTGAATTAGTACATGTATGAGGTTATAATAAGTGTATGTAGTTGCTGTAATGTAATGTATGAGTGAATATACCTTGTGTTCTATTAGAAGCTGGAGTGTCTTCAAGTTTATTAGCAGGAACACTAGCACTGCTGCTGTCAATAGATTGCATTGTTGAAATGAATACTGTAAAAAGTAAAAAAAAAATATGTAAATATGTGTCATATAATAAAACCAAAGGTAGTGGCAGGATTATCAGTTGTGACTTGTTTCTACAATGTAGCTACTGAGGGAGTGACTATGATAAAAAGGTTGGACATTGCAATGGGTACATTTTAACCTTAAAGGATATTACCATGTATAAGCTTAACCTACAAGTTGCAATTTAGTTGAATTTAGCCTAGATTATTTTTTGGAAAATTACATTGTGCAAAGAAGAGCTGTATTCTAGTTGTGACTTGTGTGTGTGTCTGAGTAGAGTGCATGGGAACAGTTTATACAACAGTATTTAGCATAGTAATTCAAGACAAACAACTCCCACAGATATTAGATATCCTGATAATGAATACTATGAGTATGTCGCCAATAAAATGTGCCTTTCAAGCAGTATAATTAATGGAGGTTTTATAGTTGCAAAACATAAAATACAATTGCAATAATTAACTGATACTGACTCTGATTGTTACATACGCGTACAATTTACTAACTACATGTATACAGGAAAATGATAAGAATAACTAAAATAAATAACAAATAAAATTTAGTAATAAATAACTAAACTAATCTTAACTTACATGTATGTTCCAATTCGTTCACTACATCAACAATTTGTTTCTGTCCTTTCTCTTTCAATGCTGAGCACACTTCTTGTAGATATGCCTCAGGATTAGTGTGGGCATCAAGAGTAGTCTGTAGTACATTTACAAGCTTGTCAGCTTTATTTGAATTGCTATCAAGACCCTCGAGCATTTCCTCATGTAGCTGGGTTGTTATGAAACTCTTAGCATAAAGACTTGCTGACACTACAACCAGATCAGATGATATGGAGTCTTTAAGTTTAGCAGAGACACTTCTAAATAAAGCACCTAGATGGAAGGAGAAATAAAAGTAGAAAACATTAACTAAATATACTGCAACTGGTTGGTGGTAGTCTGGTGGCACGTTACACAAACAAAATAGCATTGACAATTCCATAGCAAGATCACAGTGATAATTATACTTTTTACAGAGGTGTGTAGCATTTTAAAAGAAAAAGTATGAATTTTTTTACTAATGAAGATTTGGTCAAACATGCATAATTTTAACTAAAGAGTCTGTGTTTCAATATATATATATATACACCTATTAAACTAATCAGCAAACTCACTTTTTGCCATGTTAATAAAGAACAGTAAAAGGAGTTGAAGAACAGCAATCAGTAAAACCAGTCGAATGAAAAAGAGCAGAGGCGAAACTACCTAGTAAGGAGAGACTATGCTCAGAACTCGCCCTCCAGCTCCTTTGTGATTTATTGTGAATACTGAATAAAGATTGATAACTGATAAGGGCGTGTTAGACTACTGTTACAAAGTGGGTGTAATCATTATGGGGTGTAATTTTAAAATGGAGAACAAAAAACACACAAAATTACATACTTTCTTGAAAAAACAGACAAAAAAGAAACACAAGATGAAAAGAAATAAAGAAGAGAAAGAGAAACAGCAGTATCAATAGATTCATTCATTCAATCCAGTCTCCTCCAGATATCATCCTCATTCATAGGTCCTGTATCAGTAGTAGTCTCACTGTTCCCTGTACATTAGTAAGAGCTTCAGTAGCATAGTCCTTAGTTACATTATGTATTATTAAATCATTAACTACTACCAGTTCATCTCCAGTCTTTATCTTTGAGTCTTTCTGTAACACTGACTCAGGTAGGATCCTCTTTACGTAAATGGGTACGTCCCCAGTGGGAGAGCCACGCCTACCAACGATACTGAGACCCAACCCCTGACCAGGGGAGAGTCCCACTATAATTTGAACTAATCTGTGATAGAAAAAGAAGAGATAGTCAGGGGCGTATCTAGGAATTGAACACGGGTGTTTCAACTGGACATTTAGTTTATAAATAGAATAGTTGCGGTAGGTACAACATTGGTCAGTGAGGTGTGACCATTAATCATCACAAAAGAGAAGAGTATTGCTAAGGACATTACTCCAAAGTACTAGCTGCTATGACAGTACTACATTCCATAGACCTAGATAAGGTCTCCTAGGACACCCCTAGCTCATGTGCGCATACATAATATGTACTGTGAATAACTGCGCATTGAGCTAAAGCAGCTGCCTAAAATAAACTCATTTCAGCTGATGGTTTTGAGTGGACTTCCTGGCTTTAGGAAAGTTTTTTCAATTGTAACTATTATCCAAAACTGAAGGTCAAAGGTAGTACATTGTAACAAAATATAATTTAGCATGCCACTTTTTTTGCTAACAAAATATATAGCACTCAAAATGACACATGAATGATTGTTAGAGAAGCTCTGTCGCCTTTGTGGTAGAAATAATAGGCCAGTACAGAGTGTCCTGCTGTTTCACAA